GCGTCGAAAATTCGATCAAGGTATTCAGGCATAGTCTTTGAACCCTCCTTCATACTTCAACAAGACAAATCAGAAGCCATTGATGACAGCAATTCTTTCGCACAGCTCTGAAGTCAAATTCCAAAGCTCATGATGTCGGCGCCTCCAACAGCAAACAATTGTGGTTTACGAAACGACATCCACTCCCCCTCTACCCAACCCACCATACTCGAATTCAATTGCTGCTAGCAATTGGTCTGCCCTCACGATTGCCACAATTCTTGTGACAGTGATGGGCTTTGTCGCTGTTCTGACTGTCGTTGTTTGGATCTTTCGGAATGAGAAGTTGGCTCGAGAGGAGAAGAGAGGCAGACGCCAGTTTTTGGCCAGGCTGGACGTTCCTCGGTTGCTAAATCTGGTCCGAAAGATGGGACAAAATCGAAACATTTTGAAGCTGACTTGTGATGTCTTTTCAGATCCAGGGCAGAGCATGGAGCAGCGGCAATCGGCAAGGGCTTCGCATAGGTATTGCTAGAGCTGACATGAGGATGCAAATGAGGCTTGGGAGACGGGATAGCCATGGACGGCTGAAACGCGGGGTTTCGCGTCGGACTAAGCTGAGGGATCTAAATGTTAGCTTCCGAACCTTGTAAGAGTACTGAGTAAACAGAGGATATCGAGCGTACGATGCTTAGGGGGAATTGTCAATTGAGACGACGCAATAGTGTTGATTATCGTTCTCATTTATGTGTAGAAAGATATCATTTCGTCTACCCCTTTGATCAATCAATCCCCGTCCCTTTGGAGAAAGCAAATGCTAGTTGCACCAGAAATTTCCGTTCCCACTCTACGCGAACAGGGGGGTCCAAGCGTACCCTCGCGTCTCCTCCATTCATTCAACGCGTCCTTCCCGGAACCCAGACTTCCCCCCCTACCCGACTCAAACCTTTCATTCAACTTTATCGCCAGCGGCGTCTTCTAGTAATAGAAATATTATGCAATTGGCTTTCTAATTGGTGCCCGCTCTCTTATTTCCAAGTTGGCTCTTGGACGCGCAGTAGATAGTGGCATGCAATTGGTTGGACCAGGCGGTGAGCACAGATGCGCGTGGTGATATCCACAAAAGATGAAGCGATTGCAGGGATTCTTCCCACAACGCGACCCTTGATCTGGGGCCGATCATTGTTATATAATTTGAATAAACTGGGGGCATTTCTTCCTTTTCTTCCTGTCCTGCTCATGGGAGTTCTCGTTCTCGTTCTGCAAGTACCAAAGTAACAACTTCAAGATACTTCATTTGCCTGTTGAATGGTGCCCTTCCGTCAATTCTACTGTGTCAATTAAACAACACGACCCAAAACATTCTGCCCGATACGACACAAAAGTTTCTACCAACCTTTGTTGGCTGGATTGGGTGAAGGAAGATTACCCGGCCACAGTTAGCCCAGCGGCGTTTCATTTCCTTCCCCTCGAAAACGATCAATTGTGTTTGTCCCATCGACAATAATATCCCTCACTTCTCAAGAATTACCATCCCCCGTCAATCCCAGCTATCGATCTCTACAATGGCTGCCCCCTTGTCTGCTCAGGCTGCTCGTGCACTAGAGCAAGTGAAAATGGTAGGAATGCTTAGGATCGCGGTTTGCTGCATTCCCCCATACTAATAGCCATTCAGGGCTTATACATGCTTTATGGAGCCGCCTATTTCACTGAAGACGAATGGATCAGAATTGACGGGTTGATCCATAAAGGACAGTACGTCTTTACCAGCGGACCTTCCAACCCCCTCGAAGGGAATTTCCTCGAAGAAGAATTGATGTCATTCGACGACGCCAACGACAAACGCGACCTTACTCTCCAGATGAACACCAACCAGTCTTTCAGTACAGTAAAAGCGGATGCCTTTGTAGTCACTGAGAGCCAGATCGATTCTCCAACTGAATCTGACCGTGCTGATTCTACAGCCGAGCCGGCAGAGACCTCAAACGACACTTCAATTGAGGCCTCTTCAGATGACGAAGTTCTTGCCAAAGTGCCAGAAGCAGATCCAGCAATGTTCGACTTTTCTCAATGGGATCCTCCTGCTGAACCCACCGAACTCTCGAAGCCCATCGAATCCTCCCCAGAACCCGCGAACACCGAAGTGCCCACAAACGACGAAACCAACCTTGTCGAAGCCGCTGAAATCCCAAAACGCGAGCCGGTCGAAATACCAACTGCTGGCGGGCTCGCACTTTACACACAAGCACAATTGGATGAGGTGAAGGCTTTCAATCAGAATCTCACAAAGGCCGGCAAGAAGAGCAAGCGTACAAGAGGTACATCCCCGTCGGAAAGCGCCCCCCCCTCCGAGACTACGACATATGCACCGACTCCCAGTGAGCACGACAACCGCATTCAGTCATGGGCATCTGAAGTCGACGCTCAGGAGCCGCTACCCCGGGCTCCTTCCCCAAGCCCAACAATTCCCATGATTGCCAATGACTTTGTCAAAGCCCATGGACGACCACCGAAAAGCCTTAATGATCTCGTACAGCCCAACAATCCGGAATTCCGCACCGTAGATCGCCGCCTGCTCTCTCGAAACATCACTACAGTCAAGAAAACCAAATCTTCCGGTCCTCAAGTCAAGGTTGCACCTGGTACAATTCTCATTGCACAGAGCAACCAGGTGAAAAGGAGCACAATTGAACTTGAAATCCTAGCTGGAGACCGTGTGCGGATGTTGAAGCACGTCTCTGGTATTGTCCACCAAGCAGAGAATGTGCGTACCGGGATCAGGGGCCAACTGTCTGAAAATGTGTTCAAGAAGAGTCCCGATGCGATGAAAATCGATCCTTTGATAGAGCAGCAACGCACGATACTGCAAAGGAATTCAAGCATCAGCAGTACTGTCGGTGGGCTGGATGCTATGGAGCGGAGAAATGCTGCCGAATGGGACGAAGTACCTGTTACGAATCGACACAAACCTGTCACAGCTGCAAAGCCAAAGCCACTTGGCGGCTTGGGTGCTTCCAGATTTGCAGTCTTGGACGAGACGAAGAGTGTTGTAAGCTCTGCTAGTGAAGACATGGTGTCAAGAGAGGAAGTTGCTAAAATGGTCGATGAAAAGGTATGTTTTGTGCCATCTCTAGCTGCATTTCTAACGAATGATAGTTTGCACAACTCCTCGCATCCCGCAACGTCACGCCTCCCACAGGTCCTCGTAAGAAGTCCAGTATGAATGAACCTCTCCAGCCTGTGATTCCGAAAACCGTTACTTGCTGGTTTTGGGCAACACCCAACAAAAGCTGTAGGTTCACTGCTGATGAGTGCCGAGATCTCCACGCGTTCCTTCCACCCTCCGCGTCGTCTCCGGCCAATCTTCGAATGGGCAAACCATCTTGGGGAGCCTTGGCCGATTCTATCCCTCCCCCTACCACTGCCCAGATTCAAGCTCAGATTTCTCCATCATCTCCCTTACCTTTGGGCCATGGTGACGGAGAATCCATGAGAGATACGAACAAGGCTTTCAAGACATGTTGGTACTGGGCGAATGAGAATTGTCAGAACACGGCAGAGACGTGCAGGTATCTGCATGAGAAATGTACTGGGGGAGTTGCTCCCAAACCGAACACGTGGAAGTACAATTGGTCGCGTTGGGGTAAGTCCGACGCCACTGATGAGTTCGGAAAGAGTTGGCGCGGTGAAAAGGTTGATGAGGAAGAAGATGAGGAGTTGGTGTTGGAGACTGTGGATGATGGGACAGATTGGAAAGAGGAGGTGGATGAGGTTGGTTGGGGAGAGAGTGCACAGCCTCAAGGTGCTTCGACAACTTGGGATCAGGAGCATTTGAATAATGGGTGGGGTGACCCAGCTGATAGGTATAAGCCTCCTCACATCAAGGTTCTTGAAGAAAAGTCGTTGAAGGAGCAGGTTGGGTGGTAGTGACAGCTATTTTCTTGATTGTAGGAGTGTGTCTGCGTTGTTTCTCGGGACGTTCATTTGTTTTGTTTTCTATCGTGTTCTGCTGTTTTATCTGCTACTTTTTTTTTGAATTGGTATTCCCGGCGTGGGAAGCTTGAGTCGAGAACAAAGAATATCTTACAGGAAGGAAGACCAAGAGTCTTACATAGGAGGAATACATCAAGGAGAGAGAATTACTGCAAATTATGAAGAGAACATATTACTGTCTGTTTGGAGGGCATGAGAAACTACTACTGGGAAAAGAATGGTTTGAGATTGAGTTAAATTTATCGAAGGGAATGCTATGGGAATAGGGTAATTACAAGTACACAGATATGACGAACCAAATATAAAAATTAAAAGGGTGTTGGCTGTCTTCGCGGGGTCTCTGATCTCTGGCTGTGTGATGAGTATCCGCCTGTAAAATCTGGTCAAGAATTCCAACATCTTCGGATGTCATCTTACTCGTCTAAGTGATCTCTCCCAATCAAGGAGATGGCCACTAACTCAATTGATAACATCGACGAAAGCATAGTCTCGAATAATTGTTGAAGCCATTGGGTGATTCCTTATCGCATTGAGCCTCGGCTACGATAAGAGTCGCTACGGTAGCCGAATTGCTTATCCATCCTCGCTTAAGCGGGACAAACATGAGGGAAAACCCACAACAGGGGGCTAGCAGCTTGAGATTCCGATTGAGAGTTGTGTGCGGAAGGTAAAAATAAACTGTTTGACGTAAGAGCTCTCGGGATAGAACTCTGCTGCCCTGGTAATTGGATAGGAATTGATTGCGAGGTTGGTACTCTCAACCTCTCCAAGAGATCGAGGAAGGGATTCCGAGTTTTAAATACTAAACAGGCGTTTCTTGCGTTGGTCTTCTGCTTGCCAGAAGGATAGGGTAAGGCGTAGTAGGGCCCAGTTTTGGAGCGGGTAAGCGCTAGCTCATTGGACGAAGCGGTGATCCACCCCGGTTCGCCAAACTCGACTTCCCGCAATCACAACTTCAAAAATTATTTAAAAGACTAACCCTTAACCAAATTTGATGGTTTCCGTCTCAAAACATTGCAAAAGATCAGGGCCTTGACCCGGGATTGAACCGGGGACCTCTCGCAAATTGTACTCAGAGTAAATCCCTAAGCGAGAATCATACCGCTAGACCATCAAGGCTAATGATTGGTTGATGTGAGCATTTCCTTATTTTATAATATATTAAATTGAGGAAAATAGCTCTCCTCTGTGGGCTAGAGAACCTCATATAGCGAGCCTAATTTCGTAGCTCCTTCTGCCTTTCAAGCATCTCAATGAATATTTCGTATCAAGGATTGCGAGATGGTGTACTACTCAGTGTGAATAAAATAACAGCCCAGAGGCTTGCGTGCTGGGTCTTCGATGTAGGGAGACTTTTTGTCCCAACCCATTGCTAAGCTAAGCGAAACGAGGAATGTGTAACCAACTTCTCGTGGATTTCGACCAGAGAAGCTACTCATTGTACAACAGAAGTACCATTTTCCAAGATGGATGATCAGTATCTTGGTCTAAACAACAGGTCACCAGTAGGATAGTGGAAACATAATCGATATCTTATGGGGTTACATAGCTTGAGCTCTCCACAAGTTTCCTTCGCTCGAATAACCTTCATTTGCGATGGTCAGAACCCTAGATCTATCGGTACTCAGCAAATAAATGAATAAACAGATCATGCTTTCGTCAATTTTCTGTATTTAAAACTTACTAGTAAGGCAGAACTGTACAGTATGACTGGCACCAGACTTAACTTATGATGAAAAGGCTTCACAGGCTGAGGCCCAAAACAGTGAGTGATGACATGTTATAAGCGCAAAATTGATTTAAAGAACTTTTGGTCCACGATTTTGCTCTGCTTCTGTCTATTTGAAGAGGAATGGGTACTGTAAGAGAATCATAATTTGCAGAGTGCTGGAGATTCGGACAGCTCCACCTCGCCCAAACGTCGCTGCACCGGACGACGAACTTTCTTAATGAGCTCCTTACTGCAACAAATTCAATTGTACTTGGACTGCACGACATCGAATTATTGTCTAGAGCATCAACTGTTGGCTCCAATTCAAAATCTACTAAGAAAACGGACGGATGAAGAAGGAAAACGCCTTTGAAATGAATGCAGGCAATCTAGATATAATCAATCAAGCGAAGAAAGGCATGCTCTCAGGTATGTAGTCCCTTCCTTTAAGCGATGCATCTCATATCATAGTCAAGGTGAAGTTACCTTCAGCATTTCACGTTTTCATTTAGGTGAGTGGTGCTGAGTAAAAGTTCGCAGTTGGTCAATGGCGGGGTCGTGTAATTAGAGTGCCCCAACCCTGCTGCCCTAGCGTTCATGGCCAAAAGACAACATCCAGAACTCAGAGAAACTTGCGCTCATCGTCATGTGACTCTAAGTAAATCTCAAACTTTTCCTGTGACGAAATGACTACCCCTCGTCTTGCAAGTGATGCTCCGATCGGGTATGATGTCCCACAAAGCCGTTGCCAGCCCGCAGGCCCGCCTAATTTCTCATATCGGTCAAGTGTGGCTGAGCCGACCTAAGCACCCACACTACTAGCATGCTAGGTTGACAATCACAACACTATACCGACCAGTCATACCACATGCTACCTAACTATCGGACGCTGCCTCCCCGAGCAAAGGTGGCACATTTTTGTATAACATATTTAGTGAAATAAGCCGGGTCTCGGCCACATCCGCGCAAAAATTCATGGTCTTGTACGTTCAATTTCTCCACCACATCAAGACCTGCCTTCTAACGATAGAACCAGATGGTCTAGTGGTATGATTCTCGCTTAGGGATTACTCTGAGTATGATTGCGAGAGGCCCCGCGTTCGAATCGTAAGTTATCTTGTGCCGTAAAACCATGAAGATTTTCATCTGACATGCTCCAGGCGGTAAGACCCATGTTACAAATATTGTTTTACTTTTTGCCACTGGCACTGCCTTCTACTGACGTCACAAGGAACTCATTTTTAGTATTAGAACATTTAATAAGATCGTGGTGGTGTTGTGTTGAATTGAATGTTCTGAGTCTCATGTGGGTCAAATTTTTGCGGAAGGTTTGACCATTAAGGCGACATCAGCCGCTTCACTCGAATTTTTTGCCTAATCGACTAAACAAATCCTCCGGTTGATACTTGATCCTATGAGAATCACTAAGCAATATTACCACTCAATTTTGTGGACTTTGCCCCAATCGGTACAAGACACAGCTGCAAGTGTTTCTACGTCACGTGCATGTCCTCGGTGGCTCTGTGATATTTTCCCAATCTCATACCAGTCGTTGGCAATGAGCAATGTCTTGCTTGTACATTCTTATAGCTGTGGTCTGTTGATATCTACAGTAAGTATTTTTTTAACCTAGATTGATTCACAGGAGCATCACTATCAGCCTTTTCTCATGCCTTCTGGGGTTGAGATACGAAATCTTGAGCCATAAATGATCATTTCCACGCATTCCGGAACTTGGAACCATCGCTTTTGAGCTCTTTGCAGTCATAGAGAACTTCATACCGTCTGCTGAGCCCCACGTATCCTACCAATGGGTTTCCTCTCCTTCCATACAAGCGAATAGTTCGCCTCGACTCTCGCTTAGCCTCGAGCTTCACATCGCAACCCCACGCGAGAGCCTGGCTACTTCACCTACCTTGTCCCGTGGCATGGTTATCTGAAATGACTCTATACATTTGCCCCCCATTGAAGTGTCTGGTGCCGCCTAATGGTGCGCATGTATAATATAGGACTTTGTTAGATCTCGAAAAAGGGACTTTCAAGACAATGAGACTGGGCTGCGGCGTCGTGAGTGACTTCAACAATACAGGTGGGCTCATGTGTGAGACAGCGTTCTAGGGCTAAATCTAGCATGTTGAAAGAAATACTTTAGAGGCCAGCGATGCAGCTTTTACTTCTCCGTCTACGATCGTCAAGTCTTGGCCAGCATCGTGCTGGGGCGGTAGCCCAACTTATGTCATCTTGTCATCCACGACGACTATACTCGCAATTCCGGCCCCACCCACGGGACACCGGTATCCGCGTCCCCAGTACAAAGATGATACCAGGCCCTCTACCTTGACCTCGATATTGTTGCCATTTGGATTATCTTCCACAAACGCGATAGTCTAAAAGAAGCTTAGATACACACTGGGAGCATCGGCATCTCATGTTCGGAAGTGTCTTCGGTAAATGTTTGTCCCGGATCAGACGGCGATGATATGTTCCTTTATTGTGGCGTCTCATTTCCCGAACCAATGAGTATCATATAGACCAAGAGAACGAGGAAAATCCAGCTAGTGACTACCAAGGCATATTCCGCATCGGGTTTATTGTTCTGGTACTTGTAGCCTGACTAATTCAGACACCTTCAGCTGACTGACTACCTTGTTATGCCCTTGGTGAAAATATTCATGGCATAGAATCCCGTTCGCATTCAACAATGATCAACACGGCTTGTGAATCGTGTGGCGGGTCATTCCAGTGTCACTCCCGGCATTCCTATGTCGTAGAGAATTCGCTTCACTTGCTTGGCAGATCGGTCGAGAACCCAAGTTCCAATGTTGTCGAAGGATGTTTTAAAATACAAAAGAGGATGCCCACTCAGGTAGATGTCGTAAGGGACGCCTCAGCGATGAAGCATTTTGCGATCGAACCAAAGTCCTCCCATCCTCGAGTTGTGAAATGCCTTCGTAGGCCGGCCCTTTCTCATTGAGTGAGGATGTAAGTCATCGAGGGTTGCTTTCGGAGATTTGTGGCCCATTGGCGATTGTACGCATTGCTCGTCCATCAGGGTACTCCCAAATGGACTTCAATTCAGTACGACCAAAGACCAGCATTCCCGCTCCCTCCAAAGCCAAAGTCTTGGGGTTGAGCATCGACATTACTCGCCGCAGTATACTCAGCAGGAGAAGTATCGTCGTGATGCTGCCCCGGATAAAACGGTGTGTCAAACGAAAATTGATTTGGCGAGTGAAAATCTCCCGTCGATGGCAATTGCGCATTCGTGAAACTGTAATGATCCGTGCTCTCTGAAGCGATACTTCCGCTGTCAATACTGTGAAGTTCATGACTGGTTGATGGTGTTGGAGGCGGTCGAGTTTGGTTTGTGTTGGCTTCTTCTAGGAGGCCCATGTTGGCATCGAGGAGAGCCATTGCCGGCTTCATGTATCGAGCGCCGTTCTCACTGTTGATCTTGAGGGTCCAGCGATACTCTCTTAGTTTCGTACGGTAGAATTCTCCCTCCTCGTGACTTGATACTGTGGATAGAAGCAAGGTGCCGAAGACGCCAATCAAGGCGAAGTTCTGAGGTGATGCGAAGTACCAGAAACTTGAAAGATGTTGTGGCTTGAGAGATTGAACAAAATCGATGGCGAAAATGAAACGTTCGTGGGCTACGGATCGACAGATTCTGTATAGGTGAGGATCGGTAGAGGGAGAGAGCGCGAGGAGGATTCGCCGATGCAGAGAGATTTCGGTGGCGATGTAAGCGAGGCGGAGGTAGCCTACTGAATTCAATTTCATGACAAGGGTGTTCTCCATAGAGAGACATTCGGGAAGGTTCGTGAACCATTCCTTGAGCCTCAGCTGGACGGGCTTGACTTTTTCCAATACGATGCTGAGACCATTGACTCCGGCATTTGCGATATCTGGGGGGCATCAGTGCTTATTCTCGAAAGTAATATCGTTTATAACTGGCTACCTACCTCTTGTCGTCTTGACCGTGAATACCGTTTCAAGAAGATCCGACAAAATCTCAGACAACGAGATCATCTGACTGAACAGAATCCGACCCTTTTGCACCTCAGAACTCCCTTCTTGCTCATCTTCAACCCTCTCGGGAAAGTCAGCGTCAGTTACCGCGTTAAGAGCCCAGTTGGAAGAGTTGATCAAAGCCGGTCGTCCACTGCCAAGACTACTCCACTTATCCTGCATGAAAAGTCCCCAACCGAGTCGTTTACGAAGACCCTTTTCCCAGTCTGGAATATTCCACTTTGAAGCGTCTAGATGCAAGCCGAGTCCATAAGCGACGCTGATTAGTTGTGCTGTGAGCTCGGCTGAGTCTGTGTCTGTGTGTTGCAGAAGCAGAAGTCCAGCTTGGACAGTGGAGAGTTTCGGTCGATGAATTGTGTCACCAAGAGCTTTCCTGGCGAGCTTCTCCAGTTCCTGGACATCAGGCTTCTCAAATTTATTAAGCTGGTCATTGTAAGACCAGTATTGGAGTGCTAGGAGGTAGACAGCAGCCAGAAGTCTGAAGAAATTAGCATGGAGCAATGGCGAGAGAAGAGACTTACGGTGGTGAGAATTCTCTGTAGGACCTGTTGTACTTCTCCAAGTACACCTCTTTGTGGACGATGGGAAAACTCGGGAAAACAATCCGGAAGTACATGGCCACAAGTGCCTTCCCATGAGGTCTCACAATTGCCTCAATTTTGTCCAGATCGTCAAGTTCTTCCTCGTAGCCTTGAGTTCCCGGGTCCGGAAGAAGTAAAAACGCTTCGGTGGAGCTCACTCTCCTCAGCAAACCCCCTGTAAGTTGAACTTCGTTTTTTCTAGAGTGTGAAAGTTGGCCTAGGAGAGACGGTTCCAAGCCTCGGGTAGCGCCGAGGAATTGGCTGTGGTGCTTGTTCTGCAAACCCAAAGTCTTCTTCAACAAACTCGGACCCTCCAAATCATCGTATTCTTCCACCCCTGTACCATTTGTCGTACGAATTACACGCATTTGAGCCCCTGGGGATTTCTTCGACACGGAAGACGAAATAGACTGTCTGGGAGCTTATCAGTGATTCTACACGTGACCGTACTCGCCGTCTATCTTGTCTTGGGATAAGTATACCTGCGCTTTGAAGCTTCTCCATCTTCTCCATCTTGAATCGCCTTCCGTTTTCGAGACTGCGGATTCTGGACAAAGGTGCATTCCTGATTGTGGAATTTGCAGAGAACGCAGATAGGAGAATCATCTTCGAGGACGCATCGACTCTTTCGCTTCCTCTATCAGGCTCTTATCAGCATCCAATTTGGCGGGATTCTTGAGTAGAAGTCGGAATAATACATACACATGCATCACACGGTCTATCCTTGCGCTTCGGCTGTTGTGGAGAAGTCATTTTGTCACATCGCAAGACCTGGCCGTGAGGTGTTCGTGATGAGGTTATCGAACTGTAAAAGCACTTTCGATACGGCTGACTCAGCTGGACTTTAGAAACGTGGGGACATGGCAGGGATAATTGTGCACATTGTGTAGAAATCCCCCACTCTGGGCTCCTCATTGGGGAAGCGAACGCCATTCCCAGCCACTTGGGATTCGGGATTTGCTGAAAGGGCGATCCAGCGAATCAGAAGAGGCCGAGGTATGATAGGCAAGACTTGGTGATGGAACTGACACATTGGAATTCGACCCAGCATGCCGGCACCTCACGGTGGGTACGAAAAGCGGCACAAAACAAAAGTTTCTATACTGTTACTCTACAAGCAATCGAATGTCTCCAAAATCATTCTTGACTTCTACTTCTTGTAAAACAATTAATTATCTCAGGTTTCTCTGGGCCAATGGTGTCAGGGCGGGCACAGAATTGCACCAGTTCTCTTCTTTGATGTAGGTAACTTTGTAAGCGATTAAAAAGTTCTCAAAATGATCCGTGGCATTTAGTTGTCTGTTCATTTTCTCCAGGATATGGCTACCTTGGACGTAGGAGAGCTGCCGACGGGGGATGATGTCGTTATCAAGACTAGCTCCTATTTCAACCGTACAGCTGAAGACATTCTCCTTCCTTCTCCTGCCGAAGTCAGAGAACGTGCCTTAGAGAAAGGCTTTGTGTATCCTGGAAATCCTCCACCAATAAGGTTCCCAGAGCTCGGCCT